CAATTTTTACACCTGCTCCCATAAAGCTCTTCCCCGCTATCTTGATTATGAAATTTATATATAATATTATATAAATATTGATAAGAACGTCTCAAAGCAATTAAACAAATTTTTATAGATCTATATAAGTAATAGACTTATATTTAAGGACTTAAATTGTTTTCTGGAAGAAAAAAAGCGACATTTTCATTTCTTTGACCTTTTAGTCGTTTCACTTTAGAGAAGTTGCCAACTATTGGCTGTGACGCCTTTTACCGTATTCAACCCGTAGTCGCTATCGATTGTGTATTGTTATTGTTAGTTTAACACAAACCACAATTTGCTTGCTGCAATCAAGCATTGCTTACAAATTTATATACATACTTATGGTACATACATACATACATATATATGTTATTAGATGTAAGTTCATTACGTTTGCAAAACTTACGGGTCCACCCGCACCGTCAAAACGTAAAGAGCATGAAACATGGATTATAGCAGTTTATAGCTAAAGTGAGGCGGCAACAAACACTCACAGCCAAATGCATGGTTCGTCTAGAGAAGTCAAAGAATGGCTACAACAACTATGAAGCAACCTAGCGCAACATATTCCGAACACACAAACAACAACAACAATAGCTATAATAGTGGCAATAAAAGCTAGTGTATGTAAACGCACAGCAGCGGCAGCGTAGCGATTGCAAAAAGCAAAATAACAACATGCAATAATGCAGCCAACAAAGCATAAATTGTGAACGACGACTACTATGCCGACAAGCCTTGACCTGATTTCTCTTCCTCTCTCGCGGCCACACGTTCGTCGTATGCACATTGCTGGGCATTTAGGTATTTGCATGGATGTGTATATGTATGTACATGTGAATAAGTACATTTGTGTAAGTGGGTGTAAGTACGAGTATATGGCTTACATACACAAGTGTGTGCAGCACTCGGGCATATTTTCATATTAACTATATGAAACACGTACACACATACGGATGTACATAAATACGAATATAAAAATATATTTATGTAAGCATGAGTATATTACATCGCTTCTACCAACTTATCCGCTAATGTTGGTGCGCTGCGTCTCTCAGTTAGTGGATGTATGTGCGAGACTGGAGCACAGCGAAATTGCACGCGCGATGCATCGCAGCCAGTCAAATAAGCGACACAGGTACATCGGTAGGCACAACGTCAACACGCTCTCTCCATAGGCGCAGTACTCAAATGTATGAATGCAATCGAAGCCTCAGCTGGCAGCGCTGCCTCACAAGAATATTGCAGTCCGAAGAAGAGCTGTCACATCTCAGCCATTTCCTCCCTGCAACGTTCGCTTGCACTTTCATGCATTCGTTCTGAAGCGTTCAAACAGTGGACTGATTAGAACTCTTCTTTGAAAAAAAAGAGTGCCTTCGTCTCTCCCCAAAATTAACAAAAAAAAAACAAATCATATAACCATTCACAAAGACAAAATATTCTTGACAAGAACTTGATTTTGAGCGGTCAGATTGTATGGCAGCTATAAGCTATAGTGATTCGATCTAAAAATTTTTTTCGAAGATTGCACCGTTGCTTTGTAAAACAATCCATGCCAAATTTCTCGTCAAATGAAAAAGTTTTCCGTACAATCACTTGATTCCGATCGTTCAATTTGTCTGACAATTAAATTCGACTTAGCTCTTCATGCTGATCATTTATACATATATAATATATATTATATTATGGGTATCCGTCATTTCCTTCGGTGTGATAGAAACTTCGTGGCAAACTTAAAATACCCTATTCAGGGTAGGTCAGGGCTCACGATATCAACATCTCAAATTGTTTTATTTCAAATCAACATGAATACACAGATGCTTAGTAAAGTAATATTATAAAATAGAAAACTGCTTCATAAATTTTAAAATTACTGGTTTTATCTTAATTGACTTGTCACATTTACAATATTTCATACTATGTGGCTTTAAAAGATTAACTATTTTCTTACATCACATTTAGAAATTTGCTATTTTCCTTCTTTTGTTCGAACACTTGCTGAGAAAATTTAGACGCATTCTATTCGTCCCACTGTGCATCACTTGCTGCGCTGCGTTTCGTTTTAGTCAATCGTGTGCGCCTATTCGAGAGTATTTGTACCGCAGTGAAGTGCAATTGCACCGATGGAGAGTCAACCATTTAAGTGTTGCGTCCACTAATACCAAATCACAGCATCTGGTGATAGAAAATAGTGAAAATACACTTTTACTTTCCATTTTCTTCGCTGCACTTCAATGGAGATGATAATTGCATGTAGTCATTGCTTTTGCCACTGGTGGCTTGGTGTTTGCTGTGAATTTTTGGTATTCGTTTTTGTGACACTACTGGGGAGAAAGCAAAGTGGCAGGCGACGACCACGCTCACGAAACCCGTTTCACAGCCGTGATAAATTGCATGCAATACCGTACCCCGCCGTCACTTTTGCTCGTGCATTTTTCTCTTTTTTTTTTTTTGCATGTTGCTGCAATTTCGATTTCATTTTCATTTTGCCGTTCGCTGTTCGCTTTTCCTTTCTTCGTCGTTTGAATATTTACAATTAATTTAAAAAGTGGTGTCCGAGTCAGGCTACTATGCTGTGTACAAACATACTTGCATATTGTTGCTCGCGTGCCGTTGTGAGTGTGCTTTGCACTATGTGTTTGTCGTAGGTTTGCACTGACTTGGGAAAAATAAATATTTTCATTATTACTAATTTAGTCCCAGTTGACAGTTGTTTGGCTAGTTGCTTAGCTATTGGCTGGCTGCTAGCAAACCGGGTCAATGTCACTGTGGACTCGCTGGTCGCTGCGATGGCGCATTGTTTTTGTTTGCTGCTCGCTTCGACGCGCCTCTTAGCTTAGCCGAGCGTAGTTTTGAAATGTTCATTATAGGCGGCGCTGACGAGACTTAGCAGTTTCTTGACCGCACACTAGCTAGTTAGGCCAACTTTAACTGCACTTTAATATTAATTATGAGCGGAAACGGAAATGGGTATCATATTGGGCAAATTTTTCTACTTATACAAACAATGTGAAGCCAAATTGTTTACTGTTACAATTGTTTCTACCTTTGTCGCCTTGTCACATGCAGATATAGTAAAACCAGTATATATACATACATTAGGGTGTCCGTTATTTCCCAAGTTGATTCTTTATTTCTGCACATGCCCCCTGAAATTTCAGTTTTTTCCCTAAAGAAAAGGACCCAAGTTCTTTAATTTAAATTTAAACCATCCCTAAATCATTTTACTTTTCGCATTTACTTAACATAAGATTTTGATATTTTGTAAAAAACGTTTATCTCCAAAGCAAATAAACCTATATCTTTGGAAAAAATATATTCTAATACAAAATTTTCGGCTCTACAAAAAAGGGATATTTTTCGTAAAAACATTCCTCTCAAGGCTATACGCAGTTAAAGTTATGCAGAACTTTCTTGTAGAGCGGAAAATTTTGTACTAGAATATAATTTCCTTTATGTTGTAGGTCTACGTGTTTAATGCAAAACATCATGTTATATAGGTAAACGGGAAAAGAAATATGATTTAGGCACGATTTTAATTTACAATAAGTAGAGGAGGGCTAAGTTCGGGTGTAACCGAACATTTCATAATCTTTCAACTTGCCAGAAACAAAGGCAGAGGAACACCTTCAGGATTTGGCAAAACTTTATATCAAACTAAGGAATAAGGATACACTGTTATTAGAAAAAGATTATTTCTGAATTTCATTCATATGGTTTACATATTGCCCGATAGATGCGGTATAAAGCGAACTGGAGTTCCGAAAATATTTATGTTAGATATATGGGGGCTAAGTGAAGTGTTGATCTGCTTTAACTCATATTTAGTACAAGTTATAGTGTTTTTAGGACGTCAAATGAAATACCTTGAGGGCACTATTTGTATTGTTCTGACAACTTTATTGATGTTTGTTTTATATACTGTAAAGTAAATGAATCAGACGGAATTAAAAGGTTTGTTATATGGGAATTAGGCGTGGTTGTCATCCGCGCTTTTTGCAGTGTCAAATAGGCATTTTTGAGCCACCTCACACATCAAATTTGGTTAAAATCGGTCGAGTAGTTCCTGAGATATAGAATTTCACCTAAAGGAGGGCGGTACCATGCCCCTTGTCCAACTTTCACACCAGATCACATAAAACCTTTCTCTACCACCCTGACTGTAAAATTTAATGCTTATGACTCATTTATTCAATGAATTATAATACTTTTAGTAGTGTGGAGTGGGCGTGGTTACTATACTTCTCAGCAAGTTTGATTGATATATCTTAAGCGGTTTGGAAGATAAGTATGTACATACATTAAATCATAAAGGAGGCGGAGCCACGCACGCTTCTAAAAAAAAGTTTAGCCCAAGTGATATATGTTTTAAGTGATATAAAAAACCGTTATATGAACAAAACTCGTATACTCTATAGCAACGTGTTGCAAGAGTATAATAAAGAACTTGTCTACTTTGGATCCTTTTTTCGATCAAAAACTGAAACTTCAGGCGGCGTTTGCAAAAAAAATCAACTTGGGAAATAACGGATTCCCTAATGTTCATATGTGTGTAAACACACGTGATGCTTATAATGGTTGGAATTCTTAAGTTTCTATGGAACTGCCGATATAACGTTATTACATATTTCCGTGATGTGTCAACTTGCAATTTATATTTCCACCTAACTTCAACTATTTCTCAAGCCGGGAAACTACCGTGACCATAATAGATGGGCGCAGCCCAGTCGCTTGTCTCCCAGTAACCTGCTGCCTCATGTGAGCACACGCTTTTCTCAATCAAACCGGTTAGCTGAGAAACCGATTTGTAAACTAATTTCTTTAGCACATATATTTGTACGTTTTTCTATAAAAACAGTTGAGAATAAATTTTAATTACATGCATACATGTGTCTACGTACATTAATGTAGTTACGTAACAAACAGTTTTGCTATTTGGCTTTTTATTAAATATTTTTTATTTCTTCTCTTCACAGATACTGAAATTCCAGTTATAAAGCAATCAACAAGTCCAGGTCCTCTGCTGACACACCATCAACATCATCATCAACAGCAACTGCAACAGCAACAACCATCACATCAGCAACCACAGAGCACTACGTACGCGGGATCTCCAAGTGTTATACACATAAAAGCCGAACAAAGCGTTGTACTTTCTCCACCACACCTCCAGCAGACAGCCCAACAACAGCAACAGCAGCAGCTTGTTAATGGTCTATCACAGCATGGCGGCCCACTCTCAGGGTCAGGTGCAAATAACCAGCTCCAACCACTAGCCATACCACACCGACCACTGCTACACAATCTCCTGAGTGGAGGCTCGATACACAATTCACATCATAGGACCTACGGATCAGCTACAACCGGTAAGGAACTTATATGTTGCTCATAATTTCGTATGAAACCAAAACTTTTTACTATTTGGTCTCGTAGTTAGTTGAAGACATTAATTCTCCATTATAAAACACAAAATAATATTTGATTTAAATATTATTGTATATCAAAGGTTCCTTTCCTCCAAGTCCAGCCGATAGTGGAGTCTCTGACGTGGACAGTTCTAGCTCCGGAGGTCAGCCGTGCAGTGATGAGATAAAAGCGAGGCTTGGAATACCGGCCCATTGCCACCCGCATGCATCTCATATACCGTCTGGAACTTTTCTACATCCCAATCTCTATCAAAATTCAGCATCCTTACGGAACATATGGAATCGAAGTGTTGGAAGTAAGTGAACACTATTTATAAAGCTTTTATTCACACCTCTTGAGCTGAACTTGAAGTTAGTGAACAGAATGTGGTGTGTGTATATATAACACGTTCCCTCACACCCACTTGTTTAAATTGGCATTTTTTTCCAAAGAAAATCCTCCATTTAATCCGGTTTTGTGACTCATGGGTAGACATTAATATTGCAATTCCCTACACGTTTAGATTTTGTCTTGAATTTTCTGGTCAATTCATACTAAATTTTTCAAAACTTTCTGTAAGAGATAAATGCAGATAATAAAGTTCTCAGTTTCGCCGTAAGTATGTGTTTAGGAATGGAATGCAAAGAAATTTCTCCGTAGTCCTTTGCATGGGTGTAGTTTATTTGCTCCAGTGAGCGCATGCGTAAATGTCGGAGCCGTCGCTAAAGAAGTTGTTTGGTTTGTAAGAAGCGATTCACATTATGTACATATACTATACATACATAATTTTATATGGATGTACTGATATTTATTTTGAATTTTTTACTACAAGCGTTAAAAACTGTGACTGGACGAATTTACCATTTTCGCCATGCAATGTAAATAGCTTCTCAAACGCCTGCATAGTATTTAGCAAGAAACACACACCTAAGCAAACACAAAAATTATGTTCCCTCACCGCTCACTAATATGCACACATGCGCACGTATGTACATATGTATATATCCCCCCTTTCGAACGTTGCCTCGCGTTAACCGCTATTCTCCAGTTATTGCAAAAACTCTCACTCTTAGCCTCGTCGCACACAAATGCAGACCGCTGCATACTACGGCAAATATTTGAGCGTGTATCCGCATGTGTATATGTGTATGAAAATGTGCATACATATTTCCACATTCGCTGCCGCAATTGGCGCTTACGTCGACGATAACTGAGCTGGCATGCAATCCCACTGACGCGTCGACACCCCTCCTCTAACGCTGACTATACGAAAAAGTCACGCAAAATCAAATGCATAAATATGTATGTACGTGTTTGCGTGTGTATATGTGGATATCGTTTACGTCAGTTTGTATATATTCCCATATGCGTACTGGCTATATATGCATTTCGCTCAGTTCGTCGTTTGTTGTTTATATTTTTGTATGTATGAATGAATTTGTGGTCATCGACACATTGCCTTTGCACGAAATCTGAAGGTCACAACTACAAACATTCAGCGCCATAGCAAGACGAAGTGATGCAAAGTGAGCGCCAAAACAATGAGAACGAGAGAAACGCGATGTGAGCAATTGACGTTCAAAAGAGGAGACAGAGTATGCCAGACTAGCCCCCTAAAAATAAGGTATCTCTTTGAATTCTACACATTCGCCACATACGCATATGTACTCGCACTCAGTTGTTTACAGGAATTCTAATAGTCGGTGCAAGATAATTGCGTCCAAGTAAGAAAGCTAACATAATGTGAGCGCCCTTCCTTAAATTTTCATAAGGGCGGTTTTACAAATGATATTAAGAAAAATAAATTTAATTAATTATTTCGCAATTTTGCTTAAAATATAATATGTACAACTACCTGTTACATCATCGGACCATGCAAAATCCTTTAATTAGTTTTTGAAAAATTAATATATGCATATGTATATATATTATGTAAGGATTATTATATTCTTGCAACATATTGCTTTCGGTTGCTTGTATCACCTAAAAATAATCTAGTTATATATGGGGTTATATATGTATATATAAATGATCAGGATGAAGACACAAGTTCAAATCGGGGTGTCTGTCTGTCCGTCCGTCTGTCTGTGCTAGCTGTAACTTGAGTAAAAATTGAGATATCTTTATGAAACTTGGTAGACATGTTTCTTGGTACCGTGAGACGGTTGGTATTGCAGATGGGCGTAATCGGAACGATGCCACGCCCGCAAAACGCCATTAATCGAAAACCAATAAACCAAATTCACTCAAGACAAATATTTGTAGCACCCCTATCGACAGTATGAAAATTGATGAAATCGGGTGACAACCCCGCCCACTCCCTTTATAACGGTTTTGATTAAAGCTACTAAAAGTGCTATAACTCATTAAATAAAGCAGTCAGAGACGTTGAATTTTACACATAAGATGGTACAATTAAGCTTTATAGGAGCCAAAACAAAAATTATACAAGGGGCGTACCACCGCCCACATTTAAGGGAAAACCCATATTTCGGAACCTGCTCGACCGATTTCAACCAAATTCGGTATTTAATATTCTACTATGTTACAGTGCGAAAATAGGCGAAATCGGACTACAACAAATTACATCAGCCTGCTAAAAACTCTTTGCGTGCTGCTCTTTTCACTTTCACACTACAACTGGCAAACTTCATCAAACTATAAGTAGTTGACCAAAGGCATAATCACAATGCAAACTGTTAAGCTAGTAATTTTCCATCATACAAAAAACGGCTTTGACGAATGTGCCCCACTTTACCCTAAAAGTTTATGAAAAATTCTTCGATCAGGCGATATTTTTTCATGTTTAAAAAAAAAAAGCTGGATAAATTTAATTGAAATCTGCCGAAAGGTTTTCGAGCTACACTGGTCATCAGTTCAAAGTCATATTTTTGAGAAACCGCATTTGAAGTTTTACGCAAAGAGAGTTCCATAACGCCCCATAACTCTTTGCTAATTATCGAATAACTCGAAAAGTATTTGTCAAATTTAAAAATTTATTTAAGCTCTAACCCCTTAATGATAAAATATTTACCTTTCCTACATACTTATGTCACAACTTTTATATTTTTTAGTGCCCGATGGTTATTACATGCCACTAGGGAGCAGCACTAGTCCATCGAATAATGCGTCGGTGAGTAGCAGCAGTGGCCCGAATAGCGGTGCAGTCGGCACCCTGAATAATGGAAATTCAGCAGCTTACTCCACGTCACCCTATTTTACAACACCTTCCCCGCCACGAGCTAACCCCGGTCTAACGCCACATCATTCCCTGCACGCACACCAACAACACCTACACCATCATCAGCATTCCACGCTAGCGAACAGCCCAGCGACCGCGGCTGGCGGTGTGCTGCATCAACCGAGTGTGATTCAGCCAACAACGTCCAACGTCAACTATGATCTCTCGTACATGCTGGAGCTTGGTGGTTTTCCACAGCGCAAAGTGAAAAAACCACGAAAGCCAAAAATCGAAATGGGGGTAAAGCGACGCAGCCGCGAAGGCTCCACAACATACCTGTGGGAATTTCTCCTTAAACTTCTGCAAGACCGCGAATACTGCCCCCGTTTTATTAAATGGACCAATCGTGAGAAGGGTGTATTTAAACTGGTGGACTCAAAAGCGGTGTCGCGACTATGGGGCATGCATAAAAACAAACCGGATATGAATTACGAGACAATGGGACGAGCATTGCGGTACTACTATCAGCGTGGCATACTGGCGAAAGTCGATGGCCAGAGGCTGGTGTATCAATTCGTGGACGTGCCAAAGGATATTGTGGAAATCGATTGCAATGGAGTGTAAATGTTTGGATGCATGCATATGTAATATGTAAGAAAGCTTACAAAAGGAACAACATTTGAAGGGCTGGGCATTCCATAAAGGTAAGTGTTACCATATTCGTACATATCTATATTCGAAACTGCCTTTTTAGAAAACTTGGAATCAATATCACTCAGTGACGTTTCTGGTATTTTCAGAACGCATCACATCACTTACAAATGGATTTCAAGGAATGTACAAACAGTAGAAAGCTGCTCAAAATCGCAGCCAAATTTCGGAAGTGCAATTCTGCTTACACACACACACAATATATATATATATAATAATTCGCGGCGTACAGCAGTTTTTAAGGAAAGCATGAATGCATACTGTAAAGAAATTGTATTTATTAGATCTTTTTTTATGTTAATAGTAGTTATGGTGAATTATTGTAATTGTGTGTAAGGCTCGCTAAAATTAACTGTATATTTTAAATACACAATGATATACAAAAATATTAATAATTATTTTTATGTTTAAGGACAGATATGTTAATTACAAAATGTTGTAATATTTTGAAATTGTTATTAATGATTAGTAAAATTAAAGAATGCAGAAGAATGATGAAAATGATCCAAGGATCATCTTTAAGTATAAGTCTATATAAATATTATATAAATTGTATGTACATGTATGTCTAGCTAAAGCATATGAATACTATTAATTTGTTTTTGTTGCTTATTTTATAGTAAACTCTAAAGATTATGGACACACATAAATATACTGTAATATTATGTAATATACATACATAAGTCATGAATGTTGAAATTTATTAACACTAGTTTTACTGTCCGTAAATATTTTGCCTATAAATGTTTTCTTGATTTTTCTTTTGAATTTATTTTAAATTTTTAAATTTCCCATAGAGAACAAGAACAACAACAACAGGAATATATTTCTCTCAATATTCTCTCTGCTTAGCTTCCAGATGAAAATTTCGCTCAAACCAACTCATTTGCTGCGCTAGTTATGACATAAGTATACCGTTAGTTGGCAGTGCGCTTTTTGTCAATCGGTTAGTATGGACTACCGGTTAGTTATCCTAAGTATTCGAAAAATATTGGCAATTTGTATATTAGATTACATATAAGAGGGAAATTCAAAAATACAACTTTGCACCCAGTTGCGAGCCTAAGGATATTCATATTATGTAATGGAATCGTTTCAAATGGAAGTAGTACAAATTAAATTAGTCATTGGTCACGTGTGATCATAACGTGTATACTCAAGTGCAAGTAGACGTTGAGTTAAACAAATGGTGATCGTGTTACACAGGGAAATTAGAGACGTAACAGCAAATAAATGAAACGAGCAATAAGCAAATAAAAAGTTATTCGAAAAGGTCAATAGTAAAAAAAAATTTTAAAGGTAAATGTGATAAATCGTGATATTGGAATTTTGAAACTAAATATTAAATATATGAATGAAAGATGGGTGAAATTTGGCGACATTTTGTGGGAAAAGTAGTATAGTTTAGAAAGCAACGCAGAAAATTCTGACACATATTTCGACGAGAGCAAATATGTACGGGAATATGTTGAATTTGTATTAGTGTAATTTTTCGTCAACTTTTTTGCTGTTGTTGTTGTTGTAATATGAATGAGCTCTTTTATTACTGGAATTCAATATGGTTTGAAATTGTTTTAATTTTTCATAAAAGAAACTAACGTATTTGCATTTTTGTTGGACTCGAGTTTTTATTTACCGTCAAATGTCACTGCCGCATGCAAAAATAGCAGTAATTGCAATTTTTGAAAAACAACTTAAAATAATCTTCCAAACTATAAGAGGACAAAGTCCTGTGGCCACTGCCCATATGTGCAATTTACACTTTTTTATTAAAGTAAAGAAAAAGAAAACTTAATAATGTTAGTATCATTTAAGTAATGTTTAAGTTGAAAATACAAAAATCAAAAAGCTGCATACTACATATGTATACGAGCAATATACAAATTCGTTTTCGATTTTTTCCTGAAACTTTAAAGAATTCGAGCAGTTGTTTACTGGTTCTTATTTGTTTTTCAAACGTTTTTTTTTTTTGTTTTAATTTAGATTGTGAGTACACGAATAAGTTGAAAGTATACATATGTAGTTTTTTTTATTGTGACAACTTTTTCTTATTTAAAAATAAAATTATCATTTCAATTTATTTGTGTTTTATTTGAGTTTGAGACCCAAAACATTTAAGAATGGCATAGCAATTGGAACAATGTAAATTTTTACTTCTAAATCGCATCTTTTCAAACGTAATCAAAAAAACTAAGAATATTCACGAATTATCAATGAAGAGTGATCGAATGGTGATATAAAAAACACAAGCAATCTGTACAGAATTTGAATATTTCATTGTAGAGAATGTGAAAAGTATTCTACAGATCATCAACGTGCCCGAAAATGAGAGTAGAAGGTGGTAAATATGGTATTTTAGAATACAAACAGACGCCTATGGTATTATTCATTTGAAACAAAATTTAACTTAAAACTGATTTGAAAACCTTTTATTTATTTGTATGCAATATGTAAAATAAATATTTTTTATGTTAATACGCCAGAAAGTGTATTTATGTAAATGTATGTTCACAAATATACACTCAGTTGCTTAAGTAATGCAATTATAATCCTTTGCATACATAAAACTATAATATTACATGATTAGTCCAAAATTCAAGCGTATAAGAACAATTTGCATTAGCACAGAAGTGCATATTCATATATAGACATATATAAATATATAAAAACCCAATTACACACTCAATTACTTATCGAGTTAACCCTAGAATCAGAGCGGTAAGTAAAATGACGTTTGTCATCATGGAATAATTAAGAAATACCTCCCAATTTACGCTATGATCAATACATATGTACAAGTTTTTCAATAAATAATAATATTTAGAAAATATAGATGATAAATTTAAAACGAATAAATATATATACATATATATATATCTATACATTGAGAGGATTTTAAAAAGAGTATTTATTAGAAAGTAAATAAAAATTGAGATACCTTTTAAAAATGTGTGTGAAAAAATTATAGTACGTTATTAAATAAATTAGCAAATTAAAATACCACATAACTAACAGGTAAAACTCACAAGGCCTCAGGTTTGGGGTTTCAAAATTATAATGAACCGATTTGCAACCAATTGGAGGGGATATATGAGAGAAGAGAGTGTTGAATCGAAAACTTCTTAGCCTATGTATCATACATATGTATGTACATATATGTATGTATATCAACCAAATACCTTTATGCATTCGGTTTAACGTTAGTTGGCAACAATATATACTTACACGTTCTTACATAAGTGCAAGATATGTTTCGAAATTAAATGTACAATAAAATTTAGTAAAGCATAGTTCAACTTTCTAAGAGTCTACATACAATTTACCTTACCAAATAAGAAATGAATGTTTATTTATGAATAAGAAATTTGTAAGCAACCGCGTGGATAACTTAATTGTGCGCATTTATTCACATTTACTCAGAAAAACACAACGAAACTGTCACTTGCGAATCGTTAGCAAAGCAGACTGCGCATCCTAACTGTTCGAAATGTTCTTTATTTGTTTAGTATAGGAAAATTAGTTAAATTTACTTAATATAAATTTATTAGTTTATATAATATGAAAACTTCACATAAACTATGCGTTTCTGTAACGAGAATTAATCCAAACAAAATCGATTGAGGAACGAGATATCATTAAATAACATCTGAATTAAACGAACGATAGGTCATACAAATTCTGAAATAAAACATTGTAGATTTTCATATTCAGCAAGAAATTATATATATGGCGTGTTGGTTTCATTCTTGCCATTTTGGATGTTAACTCGTATTGCGGAAGTACAGGATGAAGGAAATTGCTAATTAATTTTAAAAACTAAAAATCATTAATAAGTCCTTTCCGAAAAAACTTGAGTTGCATTAACAATATAGATTTGAGTTAAATTTAAGGTTAAGTAAAGAATTAGCGGTATTTTCGAATCTAAAACCTTTTAATTTTCATTTTCATTCCTAAACGTGTAATTCTCTAATTTTTAACAAAATGTGATCCTGAAAGTATTATCTCAAAATTAAATTAATTTGACCTACTGACAGACAATTTATCACTCTTTTTTTAAATACAATTTTGATGCAAAGTGACATATTCAAAAACTATTTGGATGACAACATTTAAAACTAATAAAGCTTGAAGTTACAACTACATAAACACATAAATAAGTATGTGAATAAACGGAAATTCACAAAGAATGATCATAAGAAGTATTATAGATTTTTATAGTAAATGGCAGTGAAGCCGACATTTCTTAAGTATCGTAAATTTTAGAAATACTTATGTAAGTAATATAATACGCATTTCAATGATGAATACGCAACATTTTAGCAAATTTTTTGTATGTTTCATCTCAAAAATAAAAATTATTTTATAAAAAATGATTTGCTTAAACGTTATTTCTGGTTAAAACTACATTGGCTTGGGAAATTAATTATATATAATATGTTCTAAAATCTCTTCAGGTAGCTGCACTCATTACTTTTTGATTTCTGATGTTGAAAAAAACGAAAACGTTATTTCCAATGTAATAATAACCCAGCGGATCATTTCAAAATTTAAAAATGATTGATACTAATTTCCTTCGATTTGTTATTAAACACAAATACACATAAATATAATATGTTGATTTTTTTGTTTTATTAATTATATATTCAAGTTTGAAACTAATGAGTAATTTTCAAAGTTGTTAGTTGATAACATTTCAGATAATGAAAGAAGCTATATCGTTCTTAAAAAGAAGCTAGATCATTCTTAATTTTTAACAATAATATATATAGTTTTTAATTATAAACATTTTCAAATTAAATTTAGTTAAGCTCTATTTGTATCGTACATTCTGACAGTATCATTGAAAAACGTGGCAAAAAGGACCATTTCTCCATAGAATTTTCCAGTCAAAATGGTTTGCTACAATAATATTTCTTGTAATATTTTTGATTATCAAAGGAGTACCGTTGCATAATTGAGGTGAATTCAAATAACTCTGAATAATTTTCAACCGAAGATTATGTGATGTCATTCCGAGTATATCTAGATAATTTACGTTTTCATTCACATTAACTACAGTAGCGAATGATTTAAAATAGACGATTCTAAGCTATCTCCTCACCAATTTAAAGCCAAATCGGTTAAACCGTTTTTGCGTTATAAATATCGTAGCTAACATGACTCTCTTTTATATATATATATAATATTACGAATTGTTTATATAGGAATATAGAAAAGTGTTGTTTTTGGGATTTTTCAGAAAATTTTTTAAATTTTTCTCTGCATAGAAAACATCCTCGTACTTTAGGCAATATTCTAAAAAAATATTTAGCGAAATCGGTTCAGCTGTTGTCGAAATTTGCGCTTAGCAACACATTCAGTGATTCATTTCTACAAGTATATTACATTAATTAATGATCACTTTATTATTAATTATTAATTATTGAGACCATTAATTTAAGAAATAACTATGCTATACTTAAGTTGGACCAAATTACATATACATATATGCCAACTCTCTTTAATATCAGTTGACTCGTTTTTGAGTTCATTCGGAACATACACACGGACACTGAATTTTTATATATTCAGGGTTTTTTTTCAAATTAGAAATGATCGATTTTCAAACATTTAAAAACAAAATTTTAGGCAAGATATACATATCTTCCAGTTGTCTATTTATAGGATGTAAAACAATGCCCATTTTTATGATATTTTTATGAAACAGTTAAAATCGATTTAAAAATCATTTAAGACAACACAAATTCGAAAAAAAAACTCAAAATACTACTCATCATTAAAACAACCAAAATTGGAGAATGCATAATAATGGAAAATAAGAAATCGAATAGCTTTTTTAATCTTTTTATAGGTTTGGTTTAACAAAAAAAATAGAGAAGACAAGTAAGGAAGGAAAGTAAGTCGGAAAGATCAAATCAGATGAAATACTTTTAGGTGTTGCAAAACTTGTTGCGAAACAATTCAATCTAGTTAACTCAAATGAGATGTATGTGATATAAACTCAATCAAAGGTCAATTTAGTGTATGGGTAAAATGAAGAACACATCAACCAAAGAATGGGAAATCCCAATCATTATATGTAGTAAAAGGAAGCTGGAATTTTCGGCATTAAACTATAAGTAATATATCCAATAATACACTTTCATTTTGCTAAGATATTTAACTTATTGGCCGATGTATACGGTATAAAGCCAACTGAAAATTTTAAATTTATATATATTTCTTATAAATTTTCTTGTGTAAGGTTAGGAGGGCTAAGGAACATTTAGACCCAATTTAATCCAGTTTTGGAGTTACGACATATAATTACCAGAAATAGATGCCCTTTGAAATTCATGAGGAAACCTCACAGATTAACCAATACGAGTATATGTATAAGGTATAAAGTTAATGTGAATGTTTGAAAATCCGTATATTTAATATGTGGGAAACAGAGAAAGTAATACCCTAATTTCATCCATTATAGGCAAGGGGATATGAATTTAGAAATAGATTATTACTGAATCTCATTAAGATTTCTTAACGGAAGCTCGAAAATATTTATATTAGGTATAAGATGGCTAAGGGAAATACATATTAACTCAATTTTACGCATTTTTGGCACAAGGGTATGCTGTCATCAACAAATTGCTCTCCCCAAATTTCAATACTAGACCTCACAGATGGACCGATATGTTCGGTAAAAAATTAGCCATATGTCTGATTCCTGAAAAGTTATAGTCCGATTTCGACTATTTTTGAACTTATTGATAAGTTAAGAGCTCTATTTGTGACAAGTTTTATTCTGATAACTTTATTGATGATTTGTATACTGTAAAGGGAAAGAATTAGAAGAAATTAAAAAGATTGTTATATGAAAAGTAGGCGTGGTTGTCATCCGATTTCGCCCATTTTCATTTATTTGTTTAGCGAATTATCGCAGTTATAGTAGTTTTCAACATAACCTAGTTTTCAACATAACATAGTGGGTATAGTTTTCATCTGATTTCATCTCTTTTCACACCGTTTAAAGAAATACTGGAAAGACTTCTTCTCAGAAAGATTGGTTAAAATTATTTTAAAGGAAGCAACGTCCACTTTTTAAAAATGCCAACACAGCCAATAACAGTTTTATATCTTTATTTGTGGCTTCATTATTATTTGCTCTTATTAATTTTGGCTTAACTACATTTGGTGGGGGTGGTAATAGTCCGATACCGCCCATACGCAACACCTATACCAAGTTTCATTGCGATTTCTAAACTTTGACTCAAGTTATCGCTTTAACGGGCCGAGAAACACCCGAATTTCAACTCGTCTTGTCATCTCGATCGTTTATATAAATGTATACAACTTTATATGTTTCAATTAATATTTTTATGTATCAACAGGTTGATTAATATTACAAAATATATACATATGTACAACTAGAGATATAAGTGAAATTTAGACGGAATAACAAATACAAAACTATTTTATTATAGGAATATACCCATAGTAAACAAGAGTTTTTTCTTGTTTGATTAGGTACTTTTCTCAGCAAGTCACGACTACCGAAACTCCAATACAAAAATTAGAGTGGAAACTTACACATATAGTAAGGGAATGAACGATCACCCTTACACAATAGTTTCTGTTGGATTTGTCAAAGAGATATCTCTAAAAGCACTCACTTACAAATAAAGTTACAAAGCGAAATTTTCGTAACCCTTATTTCTACCAAGCTTAGCTAACAGTTATTCAAACTAGCAGAACTGTTGCGCTGAAAAGACAATTATTATATATTAACTACAACCAAAAATATAGGTAATTATGTAGGAAGACGTCATCTACAATAATTTATGCCAATTTTGGAGAACTATTTTAATATGGTAGATAGGTATCAATGCCGATGGCAAAAAAACAACAAATTTACTCATCGGAAATCAGATATGGCAATGTTCTATATAATATAGATAAAGACAACAAAGTTACAAATTAATTTTATCTGCTTCACCGTGGCCGGCCCGTAGCAAAAATTTTAGGGTAGCAATTTAACTAATTTTCTTTACATATTTTATTTTTTTGTTTATTTTCTTTTTATATTTTATTTAAATAAAAATAAATAAATAATACATATTATATTACAAACAACAACCGGAGTATTGTTAATAGTAGCAACCAGTGGTTGTTGTTATATGGTGTACGTTGCTATGCGTTGATGATTCGAATCAGAAACAGCAAGAGTTCCCTTGACAAAGTAGAAAAGACAGTTCAATTATGAGGAGGCAGATAAGCCGATTCGGGATGCCAAGAAAAATTTTAAAATTAGTTTCTAATTTAGCCTTATTGATTCTGCATTGTCTTCAATCGATGAAAGATACGATTAGTTGAAACAAGTTACTAAAACTTTTTGATTTTTAGTTAATATTGATAAGCTGCAAACCTTTACATACACAGCTATTTTTGAAAATTGTAAAAAGTTATTAGTTATCAACTCACGGTAGATTGACGGATATATATACAACAGATTTACTCAACGAAGTACAAGCAATTGGGAGAAAAATTGCTCATAACAGTACTCCACAGTAGATCAAAGTAGATAATTTATGCAAACCAAAAATATCATAGTACGGCGAAACCCAGCGGAAATGAAAGATAAAATAACAAGCATTAGGAGAAAAATAATTTATGGGCGATCTTTGGTCGGGAAAAAGAAGGGAAAGGACGTGGTTGAATTTTTAAAGTCATACAGAAAAAAGTTTAATGGTAATGTTGTAGGTAATGAAAAAATGTATGTAAAAAACTCATACAACCAAGTTTTAGGGTAATTTGGTGTAAACTTACGTTCTTATGTCGCAAACCATCTGTACCTGTTTTTTTTCTTTTGTTAAAAATAATTATATTTCCCTTATATAACCTTACCTTACCTAACATCAAGAAAAACCAAATTTTCAACCAAAAATTCTCACGTTAAAATATCAGATTTTTTTTAAATGTAAGTAGGATGTAGAGCTTTTCGGTTTTTCTATTGTATTATAAATTGAAACTTATCAAAATCTACCTGCACTCTACAATGTGTATTAAAAGACTGGCAGGCTTGGCAATATTATCAATTGAAAATAAAGTGGCACAAAGTGAAAATGTTATACAATTAACTTTTTTTATTGTACTAATAATTATAATCTTTTTAAATAATTATTTTAAACCTTGGAATATGAGTGCTTATTTTGATAAAATAGGCTTAGAAGGGCGGTAAATTGTCTCGGGACGGCCCTGTGCTTAACAACAAGTCAAGTAATTTTACAATAATGGAAAAGCATACGAATCAATACGCTTAAACCACATATACATATGTGATATATTATTTGGAAAAGTAGTGTTATCATTTTTATAAAAACAGGGGAAAAAATATATTTTGTCTCGTAAATAAACATTTTTAATTATATATATAATTTTGGAATAAACTCTATAAAAAATATGTATATAGTTGTATGGATACGGATTTTGTTTCGTAAATAAATATTTATAATTATATATTTAGTTTAGGAATATACTATATAGAAAGTAAATAGTTTTATAGATATTGTGCTTTAAAGTTAAGTTAATTTAGCATTTGAAAAATATATTACATTTGCAATATAAATAAATATTTTGCAGATGACAATAAAACTTAACGAAACAATCTTGCCTAAGATTGCATTAAGGTTTAGGCAACTCTGGTTTAGTTTTGTAAGTTGGAACCCTGAAGACATGTGTTTTAGGCTTAATGATGCCGTACTTTACTATTCTAGTATTGTATTAGTACACAATAAAATAGTACAGCTTTTCAATAAATTTTTAAATTCTTAAGCACTTCTATTACAAAATTTTAAAAAACTCTTTTACTGGCATTAGTTGAAAAACATGTCTTGCAATAAATCAATTCTGAAATCTGTAAGTTTTTAATTCTACTCGCAAAACGTGAATATGGCATCACTATTAACATTATGCCTCAGCATCCCTGTGTTTCGTGAAAAAATTTCTTTTTCGTGTTTCGTGAAAAAAATTTTCGTTCCTATTTTTCTAAATTGTGCTAAAAGTGTAAAGTGAAGTGTATTTTCGTTGAAATTATAATAAAATTCTCTATAAAGAGAATTTATAAGTGCTAATCTTATACTTGTATATTGGCAAAGTGAAGGAATTGCATATACAAATGGAATTACACTGAATTGTATTCGGGGAAGTTGTGACGACTTTGTTCATGATTATTCTCCTCACACACACACACACTCCCTTCCCTGTTAATGGTATTCGCATTTTAGCCAAAACTCCTTAGCCTATGCCCCTAGTTTTGAAATGAAAGTTTAAGAATATCTGGCTTTGCTCTGGTTGACTCAGTTCCCAGAAGCGTTGCGTTTGTTAATATACATACACGCTTACGTTTTCACGTTCGCAGGTAGATCGTCCATCTGGTAAGTTCAATATAGTAATATTGATATACAACATTATGAAAACATTTATGTCAATGGCACAATTTATAGCTAAATACCTGTTCTATAGCAGTCGGGGGGAATTCATTTTTTTTGTCAAAATGAGTAGTGGCGGTACTTCAGCAGGGCCTGGAACTTCCGATAAGGACAAGGACTCACATTGGTACTTCAGTGCTGAACAGCTATCGAACTCACCAAGTCGACGACAAGGAATAGATCCAGATGCAGAACTCTCGTATCGCCAAATGACTGCCTATCTTATTCAAGAAATGGGACAGCGCCTACAGGTGTAAGTTGAATTTCGCAAGCTAATAACTTCAACTAGTAAACAAATTAATTTGTCTTCTTTGAAAAAATGTGCATTTCTATACTGATAATATATATATGTTGCGCACTTACAGCTCGCAGCTTTGCATCAATACTGCCATTGTGTATATGCATCGTTTCTATGCTTTCCATTCCTTCACTCATTTCCATCGCAATAACATTGCGGCTGCGAGTTTATTCTTAGCGGCTAAGGTCGAAGAGCAGCCTCGAAAGCTTGAACACGTTATAAAGGCTGCTAACAAGTGCCTTGGTCAGTCAACATCCTCCACTGCAGATGCGTATTATATAGAACAAGCACAAGAGCTGGTATTTAATGAAAATGTTTTGCTACAAACTCTTGGGTTTGATGTTGCTATTGACCATCCCCACACTCACGTGGTAAAAACTTGTCATTTGGTTAAAGGTAATACAACTTAAACATTAAAATATTAATAAAAGTATTAATAATACATTTTTATTTTCAGCCTGCAAAGACTTAGCACAGACTTCTTATTTTCTGGCTTCTAATAGGTTTGTTATTTTTTTTACTAAGTTCCCCCAAAGAGTACACCATTATTACTACGGTTAAATCCTAAAATCATGAATGATAATTGATTTTAACCCGAAATTTGAATTTTCTATGTAGCCTTCATCTGACATCTATGTGCCTACAATACAAACCGACTGTAGTTGCTTGTTTCTGTATCTACTTGGCTTGTAAATGGTCACGATGGGAGGTAAGCATACAAAAATAGTGTTAATAGCTATAGAAATAGTTGAAAGCGTGCATAATTAAAACAGATTCCACAGTCAACGGAAGGCAAACATTGGTTCCATTATGTGGATAAAACTGTGACTATGGATCTTTTAAAGCAATTAACTGATGAGTTCATAGCAATTTACGAAAAGAGTCCATCGCGTCTCAAATCCAAATTGAATTCTATAAAAGCCCTTGCTCAAAATGCAAGCAACCGGGTAATCAATAAAGAGAAGAAAGGTGCACCCGAAGAGTGGAGAATGGGGGATATGATGAAAATGTATGCACACGATACACCTGGCAGCGGTGGGAGCAATAGTAGTAACAGTAATCAGCCTTATGCTATAACCTCTATAGCTGAACTATCACAGCAATCCTCGGCGTTGTTGCCACCACCACCCCCACAGACGCAATTGTCGCGAAAAGGCGATTTGCATTCCAGCCAACACCGCTCCCATCACAATTCAACGTCTCATCATTCGAAGATTAATTTCCCCCCTACCGATGTTCTTGGTAAGAAATTCATATTGCATTTATTCCCATCAATTTAGAATAGAAAATGTATAGGTATTTCAATAGGCGACTTAAGCAATTACCAGCGATGAATTTGCAGAAGTTTATACTTATATAACTGTTAATATTATTTATTATTGAATGTTTTATCCATTACGTCCTTTCTACCAATGCGCAAGTGATTGTCAACCAACTTATGTGTTGTACTCCATAATTTTTTTTAAATGTATAAATTATATACTTTGCGAGTATGGGTTCAGAGTAGTATCCGCTTTGGATAATAGATAGATAGATATAATTTATAGAGGTATAGATCACAACGACTCATCTAGCCCCAGCACATTGACGAACTCCAATATACTGCTAGGTGCTAGTGAACCGATGCGATCCCTGTTTGTTACCAAGGTCCTCAACTTGTCGATGGCCACTCTTCAAATACCCGATGTGTGGGAAGTCGGAAGAGTGGTCTTACTACTGAAACTTGGGAAACCCGCCAATAAAGGGGAGTCTTATCGTCCGATAACTCTCCTTTCTTCAGTAGTGAAGACACTTGAGGCCTGGTCCTCCCGACATTCACTCACCACCTGAGTCTAGCAGAACATCAGCATGGCTTCCGAAAAGTGCACAGTGCCACCCCAGCACTTAACGTCATAAACGCCCAGATAGTTCATGGCCTAAACCAGAATCCACCCTGCGAGAGGACGATCCTCGTAGCGTTGGACTGGTCGAAAGCCTTCGACACAGTCAACCACACAACGCTACTTGAGGACATCGAACAATCTACGCTCCCTCCAGGGCTGAAGCGGTGGACTATGAACTACCTGAGCGGTCGGCATTCATCCGTACTGTTTCGAGGTCAAAACTCCAAACTGAGAAATTTTGTCAAAAGTTATATGCGTAGTGACAACGTGGAAATCAGTTGTTCTCTTTTCTTTTCATTTGAGCAATGTTGCCGTTGTCCAATTTGAATACATGATTTTGCATACATTTAGTTTTTTAGTTATAATTTTTCATAATGTAAAAGCTCAAAACTAAAATCCAACTACTAACAGCCAAGATGTAACCGAACATTTTATACTCTCGCGAAGTCAAACGGTATACTCGTTTGAGATTTCTTTATATATTTTGCTTAATTTGCATAGTAAAAAGTGAAAGAATCAAATGGAATTAAAAATGGAGTTATATGGAAAATAAGGGCACAATAGACCATAGGTCGCGGTGCATACCTCAAAATTATTTAAAACTATCTATATGGAAAATAAGCGTGGTTGTAATTAGAATGTTTTGTACCAAATTTGATTGAAATCGGTTAAGCAGATCCCAAGATATGGGTTTTCACCTAAAAGAGGGCGGTGCCACGCCTAATTTTGAACGCGATTCCTATACGAGTCAAATCCCAAAAATAATATTTAATGTCTATGGTGTGTTTAGTGCTTGATCTACCGCGATTTAGTAGTTTTTAACAGTACGGTTATATGGGGATCGGGCGGACCATTTTCACACTGTCGATAGAAGTGCTAAAAACATTTGTTATCAGTGAAAATATCGAGACTGGCAACCCTGCGTTGCAAGAGAGCAATCAGCTCACTCGTCCGGTCTGTAGAAGCGGTGGTGAATGCTTATTTACATTGCGCTCTTATAAGATGGGTCGTATCAGCTGATTCGGTCTACGGTTTTGCGTCGGTGACTGTTTCCAGCATGAGCTCTAGATTTCTTCTTAATATGATTTTTCCATTGTCAATTAGATAAGGTTGTATTTGCCGAAACAATTGTAGACATTAGGGAATTTTGTCTTAAAACCCCTCTAGCTTTCGTGGGTTATTTAAACGTTATAAAGTAAGCGATCAAAGCTAGCTTCTTACGTAATAGGTAGTTTAAGCTTGTAAACACATAATATTATATATCTTTATTTTAAGAAAGTTTTGTGATTATATTTAGGAAATTTTCTGTACAAATGCACAAATTACATTTAGACTTTTACATAATCTATTCAAACGTCTAATTATTATTATTTTAAAATTTTATTAATTTATGACATCATTCCAGACCATAAAAATAGTCACAAACAGCCGCCGTTTAGTGGAGTTGTTAGCCGCCCACGTGATCATTCACAATCGTCTCAAGGTCATCAGCAAGCAATGGTTCCAGGCAATTCTTCACGTTCAGGTCTTCCATCATCCAGCGGACGATCTCTGAGCAGTATACCTGGTCAAAGTCTGCCACGTCAGACTTTGCAAAGTCATCAATTAGATGTGAACTATCATAAACCTCGAGAAAAGGGTAACATTGTAGGTTCATACCCACATAATGCGCCATCACAATCGCATGCTGGGCATAAGGTGTCGCAAAAACAAGACCCGAATCGAGTGATACAGAAAGAGCAGACTGCTGTCAAAATGTCAGAACCTGGAAAAGGCGCCAGTAATAGTAGTAGCAACAGTAAAATATTCCCGCCTACTTCCTCAATGGCGACTATGCCCCAATATGGTAGCAACCCTTCACAGGTTCAAAGCAAGTTGGATATGGGTCAAGATATGTCACGTAATATTTTGCATGGTCAGCGTTCTTATGGGGTTAACAATGGGTCTGGAAATGTGCCCATATTAGGTAGTTATCAGCCACCGCATGCACGGCAGAGTAGTAATAGCGCTAGTAACAACGGCAAACACGATTTATCAAAACCCGCATCCGTCCACCTTCAACAGCATGGCAAACAACCAACTATTCCGACAGAATCAGTCTACAACACTGGCACGCATGAAGTTCAGCAAACAGCTGCGCATGCGCAATCGCATCCTACTGCCGGTTATTTGATTTCGCGGCCGCCAGAAGGTTCACACAACGAAGAGGCCAATTCTGCCCAGTTACCGTCAGTTCATGCGATACTTCAACAGCCAACGAACGCTAACCAAACAAAGACCTCTATGTTTAGCCCCGACTGGAGTCAACAACAACAACAAACACAGTTATTGTCTTCAAATACTTATGTTAATAATAATATGTCAACCACCGTTGTGGGCGATGCATATAATTATAAATTACTGTCTAATAAGGAGGGAGAGCGAGAGAAAACCGATCGCGATCGTATGGACGCTAATGCCACAGCACCTAAAAAGGACCGTAACCGCAGTGCACATCCTGGAATGGATATTACGAGTTCAATGCTTATGGGTGTACGACCTAATACTTCGCAGACACAGTTTCACCAGCAGTTACAACAACAGTCTTTAAAAATAAGCATGCCAAAGAAATCAGACTCGAGCATTATCGGTGAACTTACTGGTAGGATACATTGTTTCATATCTCTACAACTTTTTCTTAAGTCTTGGGGTAATGATTTCTAGAGTCGTGAACTGATTCGTTAGAAATAATTAAATATTTGTGGGAGGAAAATCACACGCATTTAGTTTTTTACGTTAGATGAGGAGAACAAGGAAGACGTTGATATTACGTGCTTGAGGTTAGTCTTAATTTTTTGAGCTAAGTAAGTTTTCCATTATGAAACAAAAAACAAGAAATAACGATAACTTCGGTTGCATCGAAGCTATAGTTCCCCCCTTCACAAATAAAAAAGTTTTTCATATAAGAATTTGATTTTGATCGTTCAGCTTGTATGGCCGCTATATCCTCTAGTCGTCCGATATCAGCGGTTCCCACAAAAGAGCAGCTTATTAGGGAGGAAAGGATGTGTGCAACATTTCAGATCGATATCTCAAAGACAAGGAACCAGTTTATATACAGACAGACGAACATGACTAAATCGACTCAGCCCGCCATGCTGATCATTGTATATGTATATTTTATAGGATCTCCCACGTTTTAATTTACTAAATTTTTTAAATATAAATCAAAGGTGAAAATTTGAAATTCACAGGTATAAATGCCGGTATCAAACGTCCCAATGAAGGTGCCTACAAACAAGAAGAAGAACAAAATAAAATTCGGAAACTTGATACTCAACTTACATTGTCTTCGTATAATGAACCAAAAGCCGGCGATAGTAACAAACTGCATGTAGTAAATGGAATAGAAACTAATCCTGATATGGTGAGGAGTTTGTTAAAAGAAAGCCTATGCCCTTCCAATGCTCTTTTGAAAACGGAACAGTTGGGAGCACTTAGTTTACATCCACCAGCTGAACTTCTCGAACCATCCGTAACCTCTGCTCCGGATATGACGGTTGCATCTGCTGAGTCGTCGCTAAAATCGACAAGCCAAAGTAGTGGAATTGAACCATCATCTATGGAAATTAATGATTCCGGCAGTAATAAAGCAGAAAAGAAAAAGAAAAAAGACAAGCATAAACGTAAAGATAAGGGTAAGTCAAAAGATCGGGAAGATCGAAAAAAGCACAAAAAGGATAAAGACAAGCATAAGGAACGTGATCGGGGCGAATTAGAAAGCTCCGGACACGTAAAGATTAAAATATCTAAAGATAAAATTGAAGGAACTGCCGAATGTTTAAAAATCAAAATACCAAAAGAACGTATAATAAGTGATGTGAACAACAGTACGTGCAGTGCTAACAATAGCTCTACAGATAGCGGTAGCGGTATGCACCCGGCACCAGCGTTAAAAATTAAAATCAGCAAAGATAAATTGGAAAACTATGCGACAGACTCCTCTACACATTCATCTTTACAACAAGCGCAGGCGCTGGCACAAACGGCAGCTGGTTTCTATTCGTCCTTCGTAACACCCAATAATGCATCGACATCCACGTCACATAGTAGTAGTGGTAGCAGTAGTAGTGGGAAAAAAAAGGACCGAGATCGTGACAAGGATCGCGAGCGAGAGAAAGACAAAAAACGGGCAAGCAATGAAGGCATTAAATCGAATGGAAGTGGATCATTTCATTCGGCAATGATGTTACAAGGCGGTACTGGGGGTTCACTGCTTTCACATCCGCCACCAACAACTGTCGTGACGTCGAAAAGCCAAAACGTCAACAAGGTAAGCAATGTATACTTGTAATCGAAATTGGTTAATTGGTATTGAAGGTCATTAACATACTCGCCATTACTATACTATACAAATACTATTTATCGTACACAATCCATGGGCACTCACGTATTTCCATTGATATTATGTACAAAAAAGTCCTCACAATTAGAAATTCTATTGCGTTTTCGCAACACTCTTCTACACAAGTGTTAATAGAGGTACATTAATTTATAGCTAAGCATGAAATTACTGTGTAAAATTTTTTAATTAAATACACATATGTATATATATATAAGACATGGGTTATTATATTTAAACACAAACATAAACTAACTTATCCATATAGAAGTTGATTGTAACTGATCTACAATACTAAAAAGCCAGGTTTCTACATCGAACAGTATTCCAGCACTAACATAGAGCTTTAGGTGTCAAGTATGTGTTCCTTTTTTTTTTTTAGTCTAACCTTCACTGTTTCAACGAAGAAACAAATAAAACAGTCAAACAGTCACATACAAGAGCAAATAAGAAATATCATTGCTTCATGCGTACTCAAATGGTGTAAGAATTATAACATTAAGAATTATATTAGTCCGTGTTCTAAAATACACAATGAAACAAACTAATCCTTGTGGTAATGGTGTTTTATGAGCGCCTTTATGGCGTGTTATTCCAAATTTGTAAGGCATTAGCTTGAATCCATTTGAAATGATTTTACAGATGCAACTCTTATCGAATAATATGAATCAGCTCTTCGGAGAGTCGAATGATGATGATGATGACTATGATGATAATCACAGTGTTAATCAAAAAAATTATAAGGATTATCATAAAAACAGAGTTCAAAACACGGACTCCTTCGCATCCACATCCAATAACTCTGCGGGTTCTGTACGTAAAAGCACCGATTACGGGCAAAAATATTCGCAATCACATCAAATGCAACGATGATAAATCCAATCATCACGTAAAATTGGTAATAACAAAACGATATCACATAAATAAGGAAAGCATACACGTTTCAGTTTAGTTACAAACTTCTTTTCTAGCAAAGGCCAATAAAGTTATCTGATAAGAGACTCAAGTTATAATGCTTCAGAAAATGCAAGCTGATGCAAAGACAAGGATGCACATTAAAAAGAGGCGATTTCCAAATCATTTAAATCGTGTTTTCTCTCTGCCATGTTTAGGCATAAGAAAATAAGTTCCATTTAGAGATTTCGTTCTAGCAATGCTCACCCAATATTTGGCTTGACTTATTGAAAACGAAATTTAATAAAACTAGAAAAAACAAATAAAAAAGGTTTCCATACAAAAACTTAAGTTTGATCGGCCAGTTTGTATGGCAGCTATATGCTATAGTTGTCCGATCTAAATTTATTCGGAAGTAATACTGTCGACTTGGACAAAAAAAAATAATAAAAAAATTGTCCATACACAGCCATGATTTTGATCGTTACGTTGGTATAGCAGCTATTTGCTACAGTGGTCCGATATCGGGGGTTCCGAGAAGTAAGTAGTTTTTGGGGAGAAAATGACGTGCCCAAAATTTCACAGCGATATCTAAAAACTATGGCACTAGTTCGCGCATTATCAACACAGTTCGTCACGCTGATTATTTATATAATATATACATTTTATAGGGAATCCGAAGTTTTCTTCTGTGTTACAAACTTCGTGGCACACTTAATATACCCTATTCAGGGTAAAAAACACTGTTTTGATATTGTTAAGGGCACGTTGAACTCATTCTAAATTTTCTTTCATTTAAAATAGTTTCATACTTCTGAAATAAATTGAAATGAGTCCTGCTGGTCTGGTACACAAGTGCTAACTGCATGTGGAGGTGAAATATCCGTCATTTCATAAGTCCAGTGTTATCTTTCCATTTGTGTTCTGTATCTTATTATTTGATGTTCGAAGTCGTAGTCTCCATTGAATGTGAAATTGTATGTTCTTTATACCAGACGAAAATGTTGCATTTCTCATTAAAATTATATTCTTTTTTACAGTTTTAAAGAGGCGTTACACTTGGCAGGACTGGCATATACATACTGCACATAAGTTGGTTTGCAAAATTTACACTTTACGTACATTAAGCTGCTACATACGTATAAGAAAACAAACGAATAAATTCTACAAAAAAATGAAAGTAAACTTTATAACGTAGAGATATTTAATTTTAATGTTCGGGCAAGACACTAACTTCGCCATGAACTGGTGAATAACAACAATATTCACACATAATTTCATTGACACATGTTAGATATTGCGTTATAGAGCCAAATACTCACGCAATTCAATTGACGCATTTACTACTTAAATTATTAAATACGCTGGAGTAAAGGCAAATCAATTACATTTAGTCAGTGCTGTTCCTCTATTTTGCAATATTGTTCAGAAATATGTAAACAACAAACTATAAAAAAAATAGTTTGGGGCACGGAAGTGAAAGTGTTTTGAAAAGTGATTATAGTTCATATGTCTCGCGCGTAATGAGATGGAAACCATAAAGAATCTCGCATGTAAATATACCGGAACAACGTACTTAGTATTTGGGTGATTTTGCAAAGTACGCGTATATATGTACAAATAACTAAACGTACATAAACAACATTAATACTGGCCTAATTTACTTTCACTTTCGTTTTTATTAAACCAACGTTTGTTTTTTGATATTCATAATTTTTGAGTGAAGAATTTTTAACGATTGTAGCAATTGTAGAACTTTTAATAATTCGTATTATAAATGTAAAATATATGATTTTTGTTAAAAAGATGTATAAATCTAATTGGAATGAAGATTTTTCTTTGATTGGCAACTGTGTAACAAAATTCAATAAATGCGATCAACGTTTGTATTGAATTTCAAACCTTTACACAAGAAAATAATAATTTATTACGCTAATATGTTTGAATTTAGAAAATTTGCTTATTTTGCAATGTAAGTGCTTGTTTAATATATATAAAGCAGCACTCTGCAACAGTGTTGAAAATATACAATTTTATATTTATATTATTTTATTCAGGCAATCAATTGTATGTACATACATATATACAGACATATGATGTTGTAATTGGAATAATTAGGGAAAAGGCATTCTTATATGGAGGTCATAGGTATTCTACTATGCGATAAAGAATTTAGTGATTGTTGATAAAAATGAAAGTTTTTCTTTATTTTTTTCAAAAAATAATATTTTTTTGTATTGTGTTACAATCTTTTCAAGAGGATATAACCATATAGCATTTAAATAAACTTAAGTTAGCTACTAGTTAGAATAAAACAATTTGAGATTAAGTTTTGGTTTTTTTTTTTGTTTTGCTATAACAGTGATGAATGGCAATATTTTTTAAATCAAGCCTCTGTTGCTTGTAGTTTTGAATTAAAATTTGGCGATCGCAATTTTAACGCTATAGTTTCATACAATATGCATAACCTAACTATAATACTTAACCTATGTGGAGCAGATATATTTTGCATTGTTTCCGATAATGTTGCCATTAAATTCTGCCTTGGCATACATGAGAAAGTTGAAATGACCAGCTCTACATTATACTTAATGGAAATCTGTCACACGTGATCAAACGTCCACACTAATATTCACATAAATACAATTCAGTTATAAACAAATGAGCCCACACAAAAGTTTGTGCGTATATATATTCAAATTCGCCTACCACATATATACATACATACATATGTATGATTACAAGTAATTCAAATCTCCCAAATACGGTCAACGTAAGTTTAACTAAATAAGTAGCATTTGAAAACAAGTAAAACACATACATACGAAAAGAAACGCAAGCCAACACAAACAATTTAATTTATGATAATGAATGGAAAGCAGTTAGCGATTCAAACTAACAATAATTTCATTGCAATCTATTTGCAGTTACAAAATCTAAGAGATCGATTATTGAAATATTTTCCAAGCCGTTAATAAGTTCAATTTAAGCACGGACAAAGGTTTTACGAAAAATTAAATATTGTTGTATATAAATTAGAAATACAAAAACATATATGGAACAATTGTATTGGATGCTAAAAATAGAAAAAAATTAAATGCATTGAAATTCATATAAAGGTTATTATATAATATTATAAAATAAATAGCACGATTATAGCAAACATAGTTTTAAACAAAGTTGGCGAGTAAAGGGATAGCGGACAAAACCGTGGCTTAAGCTTATCGTTGTATGTATAAATATAATTATGTAAGTCTTATTATTAAATCCTATCATCATAATTATCATCCACAATTGTATAATAATGTATTGATTTTAGTTTTACAATTGTCATTGTCCTTAATACATAAAAGCAATAAACAAATTTCATTTGGCCTTTCATAAAATCATACAAAAATATATCGAAGGTTGCGTCTAATTTTTCTAAATAAACAAAAATCCTATCACGAAAAAAAAATAAATGATTGCTGCATTATATTCAGATGAAAGATATCCAAAAAAACCTGTGTTGTTATTTGCAAGTGTTTTGGTTGGAGGTAGATTCAAATTAAAATTGTGAACTGTATATGCTAAATTTTTCAGGTATTACCTTTTTTCAGAAGGCATTTGCTTATGTACATATGTAAGTCGATGTATACGAGTATAGCTCCAAATTGAAAACATAATTATTTGTTTATAAAAAAGGACGAATAAATTAAGCGTATTTCTCATTGGAAAGCGTAAATCTAACGGTTGTTTGTGTCACCTAAAATTAATCGAGTTAGATATAGGGTTATAGGTAAATTAGTGACTGTCTGTCTGTCCGCCCGTACAAGCGATAACTTGAATAAAAATTGAGATATCTTAATGAAACTTGGTACACGTGTTCGTTGGCAAAAAAAGGTAAGGCAAGTTTGTAGATGGGCGTAATCGGACTACTGCCACGCCTACAAAACGCCATTAATCGAAAACTTAAAAATTGTCATAACTAAGCCGCAAAATTTAGATACAATACCGTAATTTGATACAAAAAATCGCAATAATGAGGGACACCAGGGGGCAAAAAAATTTTTTTAAAGTGGGCGTGACCCCGCTTTCTAATGACTTTATTGTACAAAGGACAAATCCTTTAAGAACCCCTACCGATAGTGTGAAAATGGATGGAATCGGATTATTATATCGCCCTCTCCTCATATAACGGCTTTGTTAAAAACTACTAAAAGCGCGATAAATCAGTAACTAAATGCTTCAGAGACATAAAACTTTCCACCACAGATAGTACGTGAGTGATTTGTAGGAATCGGTGTCAAATTTGGACGACGAGCGTGGCATCGCCCACATTTTGGGGAAAATCCATATCTGAGGACTTACTGCACCGCCTTCAATCATTTTCGGTATGTAATATTAACGGGACATTCCTATAGTAATTACATTGAGAAAATAGGCGAAATCCGACAAAAACCACGTCTACTTCCCATATAACACAATTTAAATTTAAACATTGCACAATAAATGCCCTCAAGGTATTTCATCTTACTCCCAAAAGTTTTCAAAATCAGACAATAACTATTCGAGCCCCCAGATACCGGAAATGTAGACCCCAGTGTGTATGGCTGACTTTTTGCCGAAAATATCAGACAATCTGTGAGATGTATTAATGAAATTAGTGGAAAATGTTTCTTTGATAATAATATACCCTTGTGTAAAAAATGTAAATATAAACATTTTCCAACTTCTAGTTGACTTTATATTACAAATATCGGCCAATGTGGGAGCTATTTTAGTGAAGTTGAGACGTGTTTTCTAATAACAATATATCTTTGTGCCTAAAAGATGTGATAAAATCGGGCGGACAAATGTAGTTCCCCTACCGACAGTGTGAAAATAGGCGAAATGGGATTAAAACCACGCCTACTTCTTACATAACGAGTGCCTTGAAGATATGTATGTCATCATCAAGTCTACAAATTGTCAAAATAGTGTCATAACTGGAGGCGCCTATATACCGAAGATGTGGACCCAGTGTCGAAGGTTGACTTTTTACCGAAATTGTCGTTCAATGTATGAGATGTATGTATAATTGGAATTCGGAAAGAGTCCTTTCCTGATAATATAATGTTTGTATAACATGTTGAAACGGGTCAAAATTTCTCTTAGCCCCCATATAACTAATATCAGGATTTTCAAATATCCGGTTGACTTTACGCATTACATATATCTGATGGTATATGAGATTTCTGAATGAAACTCATGCTTTCTCATTTTTTTCATTAGCAATATGTAGTTATACCGAAAACAGATAAAATCGGGTCAATACTACCCCCATCTCCTATATACCTAATATAAGATTTTCAAACTTCCGGTTGGCTTGATTCCACATATATCGGTCTGTATGTACGATATCGTTAGAAAGCTTAAGCGGACGTATAATATTGGTTATACTATAGTCTAACGCTAAAAAAATGTGAATTTTATATACGGAATGACCAATTCCCATATACTACATACATATGTACATAAAATGATGATGATGATTTTAGTTATTCTTACAAACCGTATGCCGAATATGAATGTCGATTATACCTTAACATTGTCAAAGGTTAACGCAGCAAGCCCCCAATATACCCTGTACGAGTATAGTGATTTCCAACTTTTCAGCTGACTATAAACCGGTTAGGTTGGGCAAAATGTGTGTTACTTACATGAAATTAAGTGGACAAGTTTTCTTCAAAATTATAAAATTATATTAATTGTTTAGTGCTAACTACCCGTATTTAAAGGTTTGGTGTAAACCTTGGTACAAACCTCATATCCCTAATATAATGAATTCCAAGATTTTGGTGAACGTTTTCCATTTCATCTTAATATATTAAATTAAGCCTTTTCGGTTGAGTTTATATCAGATAATTATATCTGATATGAAGATGATTTTAATATAATTAATAAAAGTGAGTCTATGACCTATAACATAACTTATAAAATACCAAATTTTATTGTAATCCATTCAAGATTTCGTCGAATAATATATGTTGAATTCTTTCGAAATATTATATTTTTGAATATGAAGTTTTGCTAAACTTGTAGGCATTTCCCTGCTTTGATCCTTGCAAATGGCAAGAGTATAAAATATTCGGTTACAGCCCTTACTTTCTTGTTATAATAAAATACTTTTCTTCGTATACTCAAATGCTTACAGGTATTTTTCTAATCCCCGCTAGAGTAGTGTTCAAATTGGTTGTCAAAGGAGTCATCTACCGGCAGGGTGGGATTCATTGGCCCAATAATTCAGCATACTTGGACGACCTAAGAATCAATGTTAACAGGAGCCTTTCACAACGGTGCGAAATCATAATTTTCGATTTATAACTATATTGGTTTTATTATATTTTGTAACAGTGATGTGACGCAAAATCTGTTGAGATTAAATAGCAACAAAGGATGGGACAATTTTTGTAGGATGCAGATTTAAACTATTTGCGTAAAAACATTAGCTGAGGCTGGTACTGCAGATGGGCGAAACTATTGTCACGATCACAAAATGCCGTTAATCGAAGAAATATAAAAGCTAAAACTATGTAGGTCATAAATTAGACTAAAAAGCTTAAGGTGCAGACGTTCTCAATAGGAATGACATTAAAAAGTAAAGTAAGAAAGGGCTAAGTACGAGTGTAACAAAACATTTTATACTTTTGCAGCTTGCAAGAATCAAAGACCAGAAAATTCCGCCAGGTGTGGCAAAACTTTTTATTAAAAAGAGTTGAGAAAGAATTTAGCATTGTGAATAAATTACAATTAAATTTGGTATCTTCTTGACTTAAAATGAAGCCCATAAACTTATACTTAATTTTATTGCTATATTTTACTTCGCGTTAGCCAAAATTAGGTTTAGACTAAGGTCTCGATCAATTTCAGCGCTAAACCACATATTTTTAAGAAAACTTGTCCATTTAATTTCAAAACTTATATCGCATATGCATATCTCAATAGAATGTATTATCAAAAAAAAAAGCTAGAATATTTCGAAAAGAATTATGCCATTTAGTAGTAATAATAGTAATAAACAAGAAAAAACGTTAACTATAGATATAATACCCCTCATAGGTGCATTTCTTTTAGTAACTATTATATGTTTAACTAAATCTGAAAACGTAACTGGCCAACTGTTTGCATCCAACGGAAAACATTTTGCCAGTTTTTTCTAGCCAGGTTGTTGATATAAATCATCTTAAAGCCCAGTTAAGTTATTAGTTAACAAGGAAAATCGATTTTTTAGACATTTAACATACATATATTTTACCTTTTAGGCAGATTGATTATTCACATTAAATTAATGAGAAAAAAACAAATTATAATACTTATATTTTATTACATATACATATGTGTGTATATCCATTATTGTCCGTACCCAATCTATTACTGTTTGCAGTTCTGTTGCGGATTGAAGTCCCAACTGTTGTAAGCGAGCCTACAAATATATAACGGGAGTTCCTGTACACAAGTGATATATGTAGATACAGTTGAATTGTTTACGCTTAACAGTTGGTAAATGTTTGTTAAACCGGTGTCGTTCCTTGAAAATTATCCTTCTGATAGACCTAGGCACTGATATTGCTTGGGATATACTATAAGGACATTGGCAGGACGTCGTCGGGATGGCCTTGTTTCTCCATCAAAGTGTGCAGTAACATTATAGGGAATTCTTCATTAAGCAAAGCCCAAGTCTCGGCAAAGCACAGAATATCAGCAGGACAAATCAGCTTATTTTATCTGATATCTTCAATACTCTTATGCTTGTTTATGCTCCTTACATTTTGATAATAAATATCCAGGCATTGCTCCGATTTTTCGGCCAAAGTCTGTAGCATGTTGTCAACGCACCTCCTGTCTTCAAACTATTAAGTTGAGTTTTAATGGATAGCTTAAAAACTTCACAGTTTCTAAAATGTTTGTCCTGCTGCGTTCTCTCAAGGAACTTGACTTAATTGTATCCTTAGCAGTGGAAATAAACTCCTCGGTCATCGCGTTCGCCAGTTTGGTTATATTGAAATTATTTCTTCCAGCATTTGAATAAATTAAATTTAAATAAATTTTGATTAATTGGATGTCAGCGTGTGTGGCAAATACTTGATCCTCACGCTGGCGCATTATTTCGGTGAGGAAGTAACGAAATTGATCCCAAAGCGGTGTTCCTGTAATGTCACTGTAATGATCATTTCTATTTGGTGCAAACATCCAACGATCTCCTACTGGTGGCAGCTGTTATAAGTCACCAAACACGATAATTGGTATACCTCCAAAGTAAGCGCTGCTCCTAAAAACTTCTTTTAGCCTACATTCTAAATAATCAATCATTTGAGATCCAATCCATCCAACCACAGACATTTCGTCAATTATTTTAATAAGACTTAAACGAGATTGGCAT